CCTACATATGTTCAAATACAATTTCGTTGTATTCATCCTGAAGTTAGTCCGAATATTCTTTAAATAATTTTAAATGTTATAATTTCGTGACAAAATTTGTTATTGTTTACTGTAATTTATATAATTAACAGTTATTAATTTTTATATTGTGTCGCTTTAATGTAGGGTAATGTTAAGAGTGAATATGTAGTTTTTGGAAGTTCACTACTATACCCAATAAACTAGGAAAGTGAGATTATAAAGCGTCATGTTTCTAAGTTTTGGTTACTTTAATCTTATTCTCTTCAAAATCTCCCCTATCTGTACTAGCTAATTTCCCTTTGAATTCCACAGAAACCGGTTTTCTAAGATGCCTCGCCGTTATATAATTCGTTAGAATCGCGTAAACTGATGACTTCTTCAATCCAGTTCATCAACAATCATCAAAACCATTTACTGAAAATTATAATCGACCACCCATGTTGAATACCGTCACCACTAGAGAAAACCAACTTGTCCTCTAGTATCGCCCATCGAGTTTTTACGGTTATCTATAGAACCCTTAGTCCATTTGAAAATACTTTGTCATAAAAATATGCTATCTCTCTAAACAGCACTTAATGTTTGATTAATTTCCTGAAAGTTTTACCCAAGTATTTGTAACACAGAAAAAAACCAATTAAATACATATTTTTTGAATCAACAGTGTTGTTTCATTACACTATAGAGAATTTACAAATTAAATTGATCCTTAAAACAAATAATATTTGCTTACTTATAAAGTTAGTTGTTTAAACAACTACATAGATACAATTAAACGAACGTACACACACACCCAGATTTTTCTAATGACATACATATGTTTGATAAGCATCCTCCAGAACATTTTCCCCTCCTTTCAACTTGTCATCAAAATAATTACATTTATAGTATGAAATTTATATTTTAATACAAATTCGGAAAAAAAATGGAGAAAAAGAAAATCGAAAGATAACAACATCTTATCTGTCTATACACAATACACTATAAAGTAATCAGAAAAAATAAACCACTTTTCACTTCTATACTTCGATACTTAGTTAATACATATTTGTGTTGAAATACTTTAATTTAGGTCTAGTTACTGAATAATAATAATAATAATAATAATAATAATAATAATAATAATAATAATAATAATAATAATAATAATAATAATAATAATAATAGTAAAATTGATAGTAATGAAGTAGAAAATCTGTAAAATTATTTGTAAACAAACTACACGCAACTACCAAATGTGATGACAAATCAATTGAAAATAATTTATTTCATTTGTGACATCTCTCTCTCTCTCGGTCTTTATCATATCATATATCATTCAATATTTCATTTTATTTGGCATTCTTTATGTGCGTGTTTTATTACCTATTTTGACATGATGATGATATGAAACTATGGAGTAAAGTAAGTTTTATTTAAAGAAAACGTTCTATTTTAAGAAAGAAACATACATATATTTTTTTTAGTTAGAAAACAAATCAAATGAACTTGTCAACTTGAGTATACACGCATAAAATTAGTACAAATAGATGAATGTACAGTAACAACAAAATTATCTAGATAATCTTTTGAAAACCAGAAGAAAAGGTGGGAATATGAATTGTTTTTTTTTACATTGAAGTAAATAATCATTACTCTAGTTAGAAATTATTCAGTTACATATACATTACTGGGTCTTCTTTTATTTAAGAGATGAATCTCACTTTGATAATCAGTTGTTTGTTTCCTATTTTGTTCTACAAGTTTCTTTGATTATTTAAACCAAATGAGTACACATATATTATTGTAGAACTGATGACCGATAATGATGAGAAGCATTCGCGTAGACAGATAGCAGTAGTTAAATTTTCTGCTTTAACTCTGTTGTCTTCAATTTAATCTCTAAACAATTATCTGATTATAAATACATACATATACATTCGCGTGTAGATTAAATTACTAACCAACAGTCAATTTTGCGCTAAATGTTATACTCCAGTTGAATATTTGATGTATTTATCCCTTATTCTCTTTTTTTTTATTTGATTGGGAAAATTTTTGATTATAATTAAATTTTTTCACGTTTAAATCTTTCCTCCTTTTAGTTTTTAATGTACACAAGCTTTACACAGTAATAATAAATTTTATAATGATGAAGACAGCTCGACAGTCACGCATACTAGGCATATGTCATTTGTCAAAAAAATGAAAGAAGCAAATATGTTTACTTCGGTTGCTGATTTCTTTACCGATTTTCACTTTCTATCTGTTATTGTGATGTGATGATTAGGAAAGAGAACATTATTAAGAAACAATGATGAGCAAAATAAACAGATCAGCAGATGACTAAATAGTTAGTCAGTCCGTTTTCAGCCCATATCAAAACTACTGAGAACCATGTAGTAGAAGGTAAGTATCTAGTCATACTTTGAGACTTCTTACTGATGCACACTTATGACCCCAAATGAGATGGAACTAAGGGCGTTTAATCTTTCCGACCAAGAAAACATACTTAACCAGACAGGTCACAAGTCAATGATTCACAACTTAATTTTTCTTCAATTTGAAACACGGTGCGATCATCATTTAATGTCATTAGTGAGTGAGTATCTCGATTTCGACTTCGTTGAACTTCATCATCAAAACTTTGAGAATCTAGCCTAAAGCCAAATCACTCAATCAATATTTGAATAAAAGAAATTTGTCCATATTCACTGTATTTTTTCACTTAACAAATGAGCATAAGCAAAGTATAGAATGATACTTTTAGTTTGTAACCTTAATTGAATATAAACATGACACACAAAGTATGTTAAAAAATATGCGTTTAACAATTAAAACAATATATTGTGCGATGAAAGGAAGTTTCAGAGTATCTTCTTAATTTACAGCACTCACTAACAGGGAATAATTTTAATGAAATCCTAATCGCCTGTTTAGTATTCCTCTGTCAGATAATTTTATGAATACGAGTTTTTCTGCTTACTACTTCTACAAATCACTTGGCTACTTAAATCTTAGCAAGTAGTTAATACATACAAGACTAATAACTGAATATCACGACTTCGTTAGGCACAAAATTAAATAGTTAGATGAATGAACAATCTTCCTCAGTAAATTCAGAATACCTTTCAACCAATTCAATGTAGTGATGTAAATCGTCCTTCCAATACAGGTGCTTCTTTCAAGTGTAGATAGACATACGTGTTGTTGTGGTAATACTGAAATATTATCACTGAATTACGAGAGATAATTAGACTGTCCTGTGAACAACAATCGTGACCTACTACACCAAGTCACTACAATCGTCACTACTGCAAAATTAACCAAAGTAAAATTTCTATAAGCCACCTTCTAGAGTAATTGCAAAAGTATGCATGTTGACTAGTCAGTAAAGTGGTCTAGATAGATAGCAAAATAAATCTGGGAAGTGCCGCTTCAAAGTGACGCGCCCACTTGTCGGGGATAGTTTATTCGAGAAGTCCCGACCCACTTAGAACTCCATACAACACAAATTGTAAGAATAGTAGTGATGGAGAAGGCTTAAAGCTCAGGTGGATGTTTTGTTATGACCTATAGAATAGCTGTAATTAGGAAACATTCATTGTTGCTCTGGTCATTATTAGTATCTACTTCACGTGCAAGTGAGCTTTCCCCATTATTTATGACGAATGAGGATTTCCTAGACAACCCTCCAGAAATATACTTCTCGTAACAGCATCGAACTGGTAATGCAACTAATAAAACCGACGATTTTGACTTTATTGGTCCCTACTTTTTGAACTTTGGAATGACTAATTCCTCTTAAAAATTTTCAGTGCGTAAGGATCTGTCAAGAACATGTTGAATACTGATTGCGTAATTGGTAGTATTTAACCTCATCTTACTATGAATGAGTCTAAGGAGACAAATGAAAATTAACTTCGTTAATTTCAACAATATAAGTGTAATCTAATTTACAGTCGCCATGGATTTTTCGAAATGGGTAGTATCCAGTGTTAGGTAGTATATATTTTTAAGTTAGCTTGTCTTACTTCCCTATACTCGCTAATGAGTTTAGAATTATATATATATATATATATGCGCAGTAAGTGTAGTCGGATGCGTCGACAATTTCACTTATCTTGGAAGTTTAATCAATCTTAATGAGCTGGTGTCTGACGAAAACTCTGCATGGATTCAAAAAGCTCGTTTGGCTTTTGCCAACTTACGTCATCTTTGGCGAAGGCGAGATATCCGTCTATCAATAAAAGGGCGAGTATACTGCGCGGCAGTTCGTTCTGTTTTACTTTACGGCTGCGAAACATGGCCCTTAAGAGTAGAAGACACCCGTAAGTTACTAGTATTTGACCACAGATGCCTTAGAAATATTGCTGGCATCTGCTGGGATCACCGGGTAAGTAATAGTGAGGTTAGACGCAGGGTACTAGGGAATGATGGTAAATCAGTTAATGAGATTGTGAATCTTCATCGACCGAGATGGTTGGGCCACGTATTACGTATGGCTTAACACCGAATACCACGACGCGCAATGCTGACTAGTTTCGGAGATGAATGGTAGGAAGTTAGGGGCGGCCAAACCAAAACGTGGCATCAGTGCTCTAAGTCACTAACTCCTGGTCTGAGCCATGCTGGTAGATGCAGACTACTTGGTTGAGGTTCGTGCGACTATCGTAATCAACGGTTGAAGAATCTTGGTGACATGGCTCAGAATCGATCACAATGGCGTAGGTGTATACACTCTTTGCCTTCCGTGAAGCCGGGAGATAAAGATTACTTTACACCTTTCTTTCTATGAACTGATTCTTCACTGTATCATATTTCTAGATGCCATCTTTTTTATATATACTACTACCATTGAAGTAACTGCTTCTATGAATTCGGTATTCATCTTGTTGTGCTAATGAGGCACGGCAACTTGCACCGATGCATATATGTGCCTGGTCCTAAGTTGTAGACGACTGACTGATATATACGTACAAAAAACAAGAGAAACTAGTACAAAGCCAAAAGCTCTATTTTATTCTAAATCAATGTACCTAGGAATAACCAGCTGTCTTGAATTCGTTAACAATCTAACATATGAGAAAAGTTGATATTGGTTGTTTAAATATGAAATTAGTAGTGCATAGATCCTGTGAATTAAATCATTTACAAACCAAATGAACGAAATGATACTTCATCGATACACATAATCTGCTTTTAGGTTTTCTGAGATTTCGACTTCCCATCTATCACCATTTTGCAGCAATTTTTCTTTATTATACAATAATTCTTCATGTGTTTCAGTAGAATATTCGAAGTTCGGTCCCTGAAATTCAGAAGAGAAAACAAACTAGAAATTTAGTTATCTTAGTTGGAAATCAATCGAAAGTAACAACGCCATCCATAGACCACAAAAGGGTTTTGGAAGTAGGAGGTTAGAAAAATTAAGCTTCCAACTCATCTTAAAAGGTAGTGACTTCTCTCGTGACATCGCTTTTCTTCGAGACACCGAAGAGCCTCTATGCCTAAGCTGTAGTCTGGTGGTTTATACAACTTATTTATCTATCTACCAGAGAAGTGTGCTTAGAACTGTTCCATCTTTAACACACGAACAGTTGTTAAGATTACAGTTAAATTGACATAACCTGTCAAAAAATCCATTCATTTTACAGAGGAAGTTAGACTGAACAGAGTAATAGCTTTCGCAGTAACGCATTAGTCTAACTTGCTACGTTTGATAAAATAAATGCAAGAGTATAAAACACCTAAACTCGTGTTTTAGACTTGCAATTCCTGAAATCTAAAACTACTCATTTTTGACACCCCATCGAGCTAAAAGAGAGATTGTATTTTTTAAAATCATATCTTTTAATATTAAAACTACTGTTTTAGACTTCACAATACAGTTGTGCTGATGTAATGATGAAATTAAAATGTGCAAATGAACCATAAGATTTATAACTACTGAGGCTTGTCTAGTTACTTTTTCTTGTTAAACTTTTCTACCTAATGATTTAAACTAACCAACCAACTTTAAAGTAACAAGACAAAACAATCTGTGGAATGAAGATACCGACGAACTAAATCTCGAATTTCTGCTGATGCATTTAAAGTGGGTGAAAACTTATGAGTAAGGATTTTTAACTAAAAAAATGAAGTATTCCTCCTTTGAAAACTTATAAATGTAAGCGGTCTGAGCAAGTAACAAGACAAAAAGTGTTGTGATGGGTGCTAGGAAAGATGTGATTCTGAACTATTATTTATTTATTTAAATACATAAACATTGGTACAAGGAGGTACCAAATATTTGTGTGCCACACAAACCATTCGATTTGTGAGGACCGGAATACTGCCCGGGCGTCCAAACAGAAGCATGTGGTTTTCTTAGGGATTCATATTTCGAGCCTTTGACCCACAGGTCTAATCCACAAGGCAATGGCACAACGTTAGAAGGTGCAGTTCCATGGTAACCGGTGACCAATAATTGACTCATACGCCATTTGTTCCCTCAGGATCCTGGAGCCTATGTACACCATTGGTTTGGAGTCAGGGTTACTGCGAGAAGGTATTGACTGGATACATTTAGCCATATGAGAGCACTTCGAGAGAGAGGTGACTCTTCCCATCCCATGGCAATGTAATTCTGATAATCAGAGTGGAATGTAAGGGATTAACATTTTCCTTAAACAGATGATTAGCTGGGTGTTTGTGAACTCGATAGGTATACGAACGGCTTTACATATAACGCGAACAACCTTGTTTTTAACATACAAAATCATATTACACTTAATTATCATGTGATTGATATAAAAGTGCTATTTTGCTAGTAATTAGGATGAACCAAATACGTTTTTCATAGAACTGTCCGACTTCATTCTCAACGTTTAGTAACTATTTGAACTGACAAGTGTGTAAAAGCTGACTTTTATTGATTTTACATATAGCTCCTAAGATCTGAAAACTCGAAGGTTAAATATATATTTGAAATCTTTCGAAAGATGTCGTTTAACTGTTAACACACACCAAAACCATATAAAATTTACTTGCCGATCAGTTTTAGAGATAAGCGATAGTCTGGATGGTGATTTATCCACTTATGATCCTATTTGTTACATCTTTATTTCACATTCGTTTGGCAGGTGACTAAAGTGCTATTGTCAGTTTCACATTCAACTTAGATACCAAGTGAACCGCATCCATCTGTCATATCCTTGATCTCAAAAATAAAATTTTCAACATATCAGGTATTTGAAACGCGCTAAACCTTAAAGTGATCATAAGTGAGTGGATGATATTTTAAACACATTCGCTTTCACTGATTACCTCTGTCAAAAAAACAACGATTAGATAGGAACCTGATGTCTGCCCTTAAAATTACCTAATCTTCTGCTTTATTCTAACAAAGAATCTCCGAGTACATAAAAAGTTTTTCCCAAACACATTGAATAAGCTGATATCTTGACAATTTTATTTTTGAGATCAAGGATATGACAGATGGATGCGGTTCACTTGGTATCTAAGTTGAATGTGAAACTGACAATAGCACTTTAGTCACCTGCCAAACGAATGTGAAATAAAGATGTAACAAATAGGATCATAAGTGGATAATTCACGAAGTCAGAAAAGGTGAAAATGAATGTGTGATGTAATCTGTACGAGTCTAGTGGCCGATCCGCAGGGTCAAAAGTTCTATTAAACTAGCCATATGTTGTTTTATGTGTAAATTTCCTAATGCTTTAAAATTACCAAAGGGTAGGGTGGAAATTCCATCATTCCGAGTAATACACTAGTAAGCGTTCATATGCCGCCCGAGACGTTATGGATATAGCCCTTGAAAGGGCTACATCATGTGGTTAAACTCAAAATTTGAATATGAACACGACGCTTTGAAAATACCAGGGCTTACTAAACGAACAGTAAAATTCAGCAAAAGTTTTGCTAGGTCAGCCACTGAATAAACACATTCCCCTCATTATGAAAGTCAACTCACAAGGGAGATTCCACAAGTCAACTATTAGTTCTTCACTTAAAACCTTCACAAAGTATTACCAATTATTTCCTAGTAGATTTGGATTTTGCTGTTGTGAAATGAACAGTAATAGTATCAATTGAAAGTTACGTTATTGCAAGCTCGGTATGCAGCCTGGAAAATTAGCCAAATGATCTTTATTACTACGAGTATAGTAAGCACTTTAAAAGAACAAATTGGTTACCTCTACGATGGCGTCTACTGGACAAGCTTCCTGGCAAAATCCGCAGTAAATGCACTTGGTCATATCAATATCATATCTTGTTGTCCTTCTACTCCCATCAGCTCTTGGCTCAGCCTCAATAGTGATTGCTTGAGCTGGACATATAGCTTCGCAAAGTTTGCAAGCGATACACCGTTCTTCACCACTAGGGTACCTACGTAAAGCATGCTCACCACGAAATCTTGGACTGAGAGGACCCTTCTCGAAAGGGTAGTTTAAAGTTGCAGGCTCCTTAAATATCATACCAAGGGTTAGCCGTAGACCTGTAATAATCAATACCGTTTATCAGTAAATTTAGTACCTCTCAATATATCTGCTACTATAAGCCATCTCGTCACATTCTCAAAACCACTTTTAATAGTATCCTCTTTATGAGGATCAACAACTAGTTTATATTTTGAATTGTAGTGTCCCAAATGCAGCTGTGCAGCTGAAACCTCAACTAGGGGAGAAAGATTGAAAACACATCTCCGGATAAACAAGGTCATTAGTTCTCCACAAATAACCGCCTAAATGTCAAATGTCCAGTTGGAGTCCAATATCCAATACATTTGTCATGTGGTTGTATAAACCCATTGATTGTTTTGCACTTGCTTCTTATGATCTCGGTACGGTTCCAGTGGGTGATGACGCAACCAATTGATTGCACTAACCCTGGCCGGTGTTGTAGTTATTTGTGGATTTGTATATCTTGTAGTTGAGTGCGTTTGTTTCATGGCAATAGGGTTTCTGGATACCAGCAGCTAACACATTACCAGTAAGAAGGTTGTTTGGTTTTAATGTGAAAATAATAAAGTGACAATTCGATTGCCAGAAGAAGTTAACTGTTACAACAATAATAAATAAGTTGATTAGTTGATGTGTAAGAAGATGGGACTGAAAGAATAAGAGGGGAAACTGAGATGATAAGAAGTAGTTACTGGTATGCGTTAGTGATAGCCGTGGTAATTTATGAGACATAAATCAGAAAGCTAGTCCAAAATGGATTTGGTAATCCATGAGTAAGTGTTTGTCAGGTTTTCTGGTGAAGCTGTCCACTGAGGGGGTTGAATTCACTTCGGCCGCAAAAGCATTTTAAATGGCGGCATCCCGTAATGCGGAAAGTGAATGTATGCACGTTTTTTGGCTCTTTCATGTAAGATCTTTGGAGGGTTGCCTTGAGGAGCGTGGTGATGATATTCTGGTAATATCCTCGTATTGAGTAGGCTAGGTGAAACTAATTCCTACTGTTGAGATCTTCTAACTCGCATGCACTCTATTTTCTTTGCTACGAACCGCCATGTTCGCCAGGTATTCCAGTGTCAGGATAAAAGTGGGTCCGTGAAACCCATCTTCGCAACTTTCATTATGGGAAGTACATGAGGTGTTGTTGAAGGCTTTTGTGAAGTCGCGGAATGTTACATGAACTGGTACCTTATGGATCCATCAGGTTGCCAAGCTTTCTCATGCTATAAGCGAATTGGATGCCCACGACCTGTCCTTCCTGAACTCACGTTGGGCTTGGTGGAGGATGGTTTTTACTCACGTATTCCCACATTTGTTCGCTCGCTAGTCCTTCCATCACCTCTGACAGTGAGGTTAGTCTGCGACAGACTAGGCGCTTTCTATCGCTCGTTTTGACGATTGGAGGAAGAGTGACCTGTTTACTTTCGCTTGGCAGTTGGTGAGAATCTAATAAGTGCCTCAATGAGTTGTGCATCTGTGCACTGTTGACTTTTGAGCACTGTTTCAGGATTATAGGTCGGATTTCATCACATGCTGTTGACCCCTCGGGGTACAGGGATTCGATTCTTTTTAACACTAACCCGGAAGTCAGCTGGGTATCTTCAGGACCCTTAACTAGCACTAGGGTAGAGAGGTGTGTCACACTTTCGGGATCCTGATTTAGTTGGTCTGCCACTTTTAATTAGTGAAATTCTTACTTTTTGGCACTTTTGCAGTACACATTCCCTGGTTTTCAAGCTACCTCCTGGTCATGAATGTGTGGAGATACTTGGAATTAACTTGCGCTTAGACTGATAGCTTGACCCGAAAACATCGCCCGTTGCTTTTAACTTTGATATTTCATGTTTCTCAATGCCAGGTAAGAGAAGCTATCAGATTCTGCCAATAAGATTTTCTAAATGTGCCAGGCTCTCTGCGTAAACTGTAGCGAGCGTTCTGTGCTTCACCTGATCCAAAATCTTCGCTTTCCGGGTGTGCGCTTACCATAAGGTACATGGTGTTGGATACTGTGCTGAATGATATCCCTTACTGCCCCTCATAGGTCACCTACTGTTAGCCTTTACCACTCTCGTGGCCATGGGGCGTGTTGAAGATGCAGCCTTTTCGTCATATAGTGTGCTCTGGCGTAACTAAGATAGAAGACATTCTCGTTCCGCCAAAGTATCTTGTTTGTGGCCATGTTAAACATGACCGCACCACAGTCACAAATTCCTCTCGGTGCGTGGACATGGACATCCTCAACCAGAAGCTGATCACTTATCAGTAAATAATCTAAGCTTGAGTGTTTTCTGTTGCTGTCCCATTTCGTGTCAACAAGCACATGCTGTCAGTCCTGAACTTCTAATGGCTATGGAAAGCCACTTATGGAACCACTTTGTAGGGGTTGTATCCTCGTAGCTGAGCCTTAGGGATGGAGTGTTATTATTATTATTCACAAACATCTTATGGGTACATAAGTGTTGCAAAGAAACCATTTCGGGTTTCCTCAACAATGCAATAATACATAAGTTTAAATAATGTTAGCATTATATTTGCATTATATTTGAAAAAGGGAGTAATAATAATAGAACAATAATAATAAATCAGGTTCTGTGTAATTGAGAAGGGTATTGAATTGAGTTTAAAGAAGGAAAGGAAGAAAATAAGGGAATTCAAATAAAGGAGACGTGAAATATGCAAACAGTTTAATAGGGGGGTTAATGAACACAGAACAAGAATAAATGACTATGTATGTGTCGTCAAATTAGTAGCAAAAATAAAAAATAGAAAATAATTATGAAAAAATGACCTATTATTGCAATAAGAAATGACGCTAGAATAAGTGTTTGTGCAGTCATGGTCTGGATTGATGCTATGAAAGTCTAATTTAAGTGAAAAGGATAATGAAATGTCAATATATATGAGTCATATATACATAGTGAAGATGAAACGAGTCTGATCAGTTAATTTACGTGTAACACAAGTTATTGTCTTAATTGCAAACTTAAGAATAATATTTATTTAGATGGAAAAAAATGAACACCTAGCGAAGGGGTTCAACCATGATAATAATAATTGTGTAATGAATATCGACCTCTGGAGTAAACTAGCAATTTGAAAAAAAATAAAATAAGATAAAAAATCCTTTACTGCGCTCGGATAAATACATATAGATTTATGTAATAATATATATATAGTTGAAGATAAAATGAATCAGAGGAGTTAATTTATTTAAGTGTACCTTGAGGTAATTTGTTTTTAGTTATAGACTTTGGATGTTTAGGAACAATACATGTTTAGAAGGGTAAGAAGAGATGAATAGAATATCTAATGTGTCAAGGTACCAATAATGATATCAGTAACAGTAATAATTATAGATACGAACATGAGCGGACTTCATATATTAAGATGAATAGAAATAGAATAAAATAGACGTGAAAAGTTTCAAAGGGCACATTGTGCTTTTTAATCAATTCGATGGATAACGGACCTTGTTTGTATAAATCATTATTAAACACACTGATATTTAAAAAGTGACAAAATCCACTTTCGGAAAGAAAATCATCAAGGACACTTTTGAACCGGGTTGTAGTTTCGCTGCAACAGAGGTTCACTGGCAATCTGTTCCATGTAGTTGAGTAGCGAATAACGACAAAATTCTGGCTTACGTTTCTATGGGTTTCTGGAATCGCTAGTTGTTGTAACCTCCAGCTAGTAGTATTTGGACAAACTCTAACTGAGGCAGCTTTAGTATCTCCTGTATTATCTTTTGTTATTGGGTGTTAGAACCCGTGTGCAGCCGGTATAATCCTCCATTCAAGTACTTTGTACCGCTTAAATTTAAGCAACACCAGCATTTTTCTTTCTCAGTTAATTCGGTACTGTGTGTAACTAAGGCTTTGAAGTGACTGTTAATGTATTCCCCCACCCCACCTTCTGTCTATGTACCCTATCGTATCTGCAAAGTGTCACGTCTTGCATGCCCACTTCTGTAGTGGTATCGGTTCCTAAATACACGATCTTTAAAGCTGAACATAGAATTACTGAGGAGATCCACTTTCAACATGTAACAATTTTAGAGAGATAAGAATGATGAACGCGTGAACATTGATTCATCATTCAGATAACATGACTTAGCCTTGCATGAGTGGTCATTCTTGTGTAACATCGCTTTTATTAATATTAAATATGTTGCTCTATCTCCAGCTAAAATGTGTTCTTTGCAAACGCCTAACGCTATATCACGGTACTATACGACATTCAGAATAGGCAATTGTGTGACTTCCACGTAAAATTATATAGATTAGATAGTCACATGACAAATAAGCAATTTTGGGATTAAGTCTATTATTATAGCAGTAGGAACAACAAGATAAACCATAATTCTGCACTTCTTCATCTATGACGTCGGGTGATAGCTGTGTTTCAGTGAGGACTATGATATCCAGGTCTAACATAAAGCATATGTTTCTGATTTTCTCTGGCCTGCTTCTTGGCAGTCTTAGGTTGCTATAAAGGCACTTGATGGTTTGTTTCATCATCTGATGCTGTTCTACAGTAACATCGTCTTCTGTTTTGTAAGTAGCTTGTCTCTGTGTTCTCAACCGTGAGTTGCGCCAAGGTGTGTCTTTTGAACTTTCTTGTTGTTGTTGTTTTGCCTATCTGGGTAGGCCTTCACAACATCTGATGTGACTGGAGGTGTCGATGTTCTTAGCTGTCCTTTAATAAGGCCCTGCATTTCGACGTAAATTTGACCGCATGATGTTGTCGACGGGCCCACCACTTTTGTTGCCCGAGATATGACTCCAATTAGATCGTATTATTGATTGCTGTCGAAATATATATATATCGTCAATCCCCGCATAATATCATCGACTTAAATGGCGATGGTGTTTAACGGAGTTAAATAAGTCCAATACGACAACGGGTTTCGATTATGTATATTTCAGGGATTCATTGGTTTCAACATGCAATCAAGGAGACGAAATAAAGAAGGAAGAGCGAAGCGGATTGGAGAAGCGAGGAGAACTAAGCAAAATGACGTGCAGTAGAGGTGGCATGTGAGCCAACTCTATTTAATCAAGCGTTAATCAATATTTACAATTGCACAAAAATAAGCTTCAGATATGTGGTGAGTAGGATACGATGTACACACATACACTCATATCAAAACGGTCAGGGTTGATAAGTAAATAATTATCAAGGTCAAATGTGGCTGAAGAAGAATGGGTAAACTATCCTGTCCAGAAGCTAGAATAAGTTATGTGGGCTTACCATAGTAACCGACACCAAAGTACAAGGCCTGAAGAGC